TGGACACATTCAAACCTGGCCTGCAGCAGGGCCCAGTTTCTGTGGGTTCCTATGGTTTCCATAGAAATAAAGTCTATTGAGCCCATTGTGACACATGACGTCACAGACTGATGAGAAAGTCTTTCAGCTCACCCACAAACTCTCATGATGAGCTGACACACAAGTTCAGGCTTACAGGGGGGGGTGTAATAAGCCTTTGTCCACTTGTCCAGCCCCCACCAGCTTCACAGGACCTCCTGTTGGTGGGATCATGAAGCCGGCCTGGACCAGGGTCTGAGACCAGGGTTTGAGACCAGGTGGGGCTCAGCAGATCCCGGCTGGATTTCTCTCTCCACCACATGAGTGACACATGAAAACAGGCCTTCTGTGGAGCTGTGGTGCAGAGGGGGGGTGAACTCTGGCTGACCCCCAGCCTCCAACGGTGTGAGCTCCCCAAACACAAACAGGTATTTTCCATCACTATTTACACACTGGACACTAGCATAGTCACTCTGGCTCTCAGCTTGTTTTGGTATTGGTCACTAATTCTCTTGTCCTTTCAGATCCTGCCATCAGGTCTCTCTTTCCCCTCACTTGGTTCTGACCACCCATCTCCTCACCTGCAGCTCATCTGGTCCTCCGTATTTATCCCACTCCATTTCCACGTCATCCCTCCAGAGCTCTTTACTGTGCAGGTATTTTATATCTAAAGGAACAGATTCCAGGTCATTACAACTTATCTTATGTACTATATATTATCTGTTGTATTTTTATATTTCATGGCATCTTGCTTTAACTCTGCCCTTTGACCTCTATATAAGCTACTGGAACCAGAATCTCCATGAAGGAGTAAATAAAGGGATAAATGAAGTTGAGTCTAAGTCTTTCGGTCTGAGATTGTCTTGTGTTTTCCGTGCTAAGCTTTCCAGCATTTTCCTGTTCTGACTTCACTTTTGCCCCTCTCGGACTCCGGATTCCTGCCGGCTGCCCCTTATCGGATGTGTTGACCTGTATGATTGATCTCCCAGTTTTGACCCTGCCTGTTTTTGGACCCAGTAAACAGGTTTTTCCTTAAAACTGGCCTGCCTAGTTGTCGTGCAGTTGGGTTCTGATCCATGATTCCCTCACAATTCTACCTCAGAATGCTGCCTTCTGAGTTTGTGAGCTGAAAACCAGGGCTGTGAGGCGTGCTCTGAGTTCTGGCTGGGATGGGGCAGGCATCCAGGATGTTAAGGGCTGTATTTGGGCTGTTTTTGGGTGTAACAGTGATTTACAAATGTGATAATGACTTATTGACTATGTTAGCCCTCTAAGCTGTAGAGGTGTGTGTGAGTTAGAATTCCTTTGAATGATAAATTAACATTGAATGGGGACAAGCACTGATAAGACATGTACAGGAAACATGAAGAATGTAGAATCCACAGCTACAGAAAGTAAGAAGGTAACATATGAGAGCACTGACATTACAAATGCTTAAAAAGTAGACATTTTTACACTGCAAAAATGTCCCTGGACGAGATTCTGTAGATCCAATGACCCCAGTGGGTCATTGGACCAGGTTTGAATTGAATTAACAGAAACTGAGTGGAATACGACTGTGTCACAATGAATTGGATTTTAATTGGCTTGAATCGGACTGTATATTTGAAGGGCCTAAACATGACATCATTATGTCAATGAAAATTAACTGGATTGATTTCTGATTGGGTGAAGCATTCACTGTGTGAAAAAAATCCAACCATTTACATTTTGTACGGGTGTCAATGTAAGGAAAGAAAAGAAGGGAAAAAAAGGTAAAAATACTAAATGCCTCTTTTTTTAGGAGCACAGCATTTCTTTGGTAACAACCAAATCTGTTTCCAAGACATTCACTTACTTGGACACGATGAAAGTTAATCTGATGCTTCGACCCTCACAGTGTTAACTCTAATCATTCAAACAACAGAAAAATACTCTGGGCTTCCCATTTTCCTGAAGGAATCCCAGAAATACTCCTCAGGCTTCACGGGGTAAACATATATTGTCAATAAAAGTGTAGATGGCAGAAAAGGGGAGTGAAGGACTTCCCAGTGAAACCAGTCCTGTTACTGGGTCATCCCATGTTTTCATTGGGGGCGGGCCATAAGAGATGATGTCATAGCTGACAGACATGGTGATGCAAAGCTCTGTGACCTCAGAAAGTGTTATGAAAACAGAGGTGAGAGCAGCTTTCTTTTTCTGAGCCGGTGAACGTATGAATCTCCGGTGGCCTCAGGCAGAAGCTTAACTGGGATGATACATTACCAGCATGGGCTTCAGGGTCCTGCTAGAGATAGGTCTGAAAAACAGTGGTTCTGTCACTCTGGAAAAAGGTCTGTTAGTGCCAATGGTCGTCTCAAGGTATCCTCAGTTAACGAGGATACCTTGGGGAAGAGTCATTGATCCCAGCTCTGACTGAAGGAACAGGAATGCTGTTTGAGGTGAAGTCAGAGCTGAACCTGGGCTGGCTGCTCCACCAGTAGCAGATCAGAAGAGACGAGCTGGGAACAAGCATGTTGGAGCTTGTTGTGTAGACAGGAGGAGAAACATTTTTCACTCCAGATAGTTGTTGTTTTCCTAGTTGTTGTGAAAGTGATGGAAAGAACATTACATTCTAAGTACAACGTCTGACTGTGGCCACAAAAGAAAGGTTTTAAAACAAGTAATCTGATTTGATTGTGTCCCTGAAAAGAGGGTGCTGCTGAGTGAGGGGTTTCTGGCTTCTATCTCTCTGGTAGCCCCAAAAAACTGTGACTAAGACCTGACACACATGCTCTACAGAGCACTTTTTGCAGACCCAGTTAAAATGAAAAACCAGTTCTGCCAAAGGTGAGAAAACGCCTGGGAAAATGTAGGGCCAGTGAGAGAGGTCTGTGTTTGTCTGAAGTTTCCTCCAGGTCTTAGGGTAGACTGTATCTGACCTAATGGGGACCGAGAAGAGGTAATAATTCAGAAAACCTACCTGTTGAACACATTTGGATATGTCTCACGTGGACTAAGAACAGTAGATAATCTGGGGAATGACAGCCAGAGCCAAACCTTCAGCGATGGGGAGGACACAGATGAAGATCAAGACATATTTTACTCATCGCCCCCTCAGGGTAACTTGTCCTGGACTCCTAGTGCTGCACTTCACTATTAATCTTGTCTGTTTCACTGGGAGCCAGACGTGACATGCTGATGCTGGTAAATGGTTAGCTTATGTTACTGTTATACTGCAGCTGGGGACTGGTCCCATGGTTTGGTTACCTGATGGACGTTGGGTGCATAAATGAATCTAACAAGTACAACTCTAATCAAAATGTTCTTGTAGTCTGACAAAAAATCCTCCAGCTCTAATCACACATGCTGAGCTGTTAGCTGGCAGCACATGCTAGTATCAGTATTTCAGCAGTATTACTCCCTGGAGATAAATAAAGTATATTCAATTCAATCAGCTAGCATCAGCTAGCATCACTCAGTCATGCAACCTCTTACTTAATGCCTTTAAATACCAACAACCACTCACACTAAGGGCAGTTTGGAGTCCAACAACCTAACATGCAGGTTTTTGGACGGTGGGAGGAAGCCGGAGAACCCGGAGAGAACCCACAGACACAGGAGAACATGCAGACTCCACCCAGAAAGGTCCTGGTTCCCCCGGGACTCCAATCCAGAACCCTCTGCTGTGCCCCCCCATATGAACCACGGACACTGAAAAGTGGACTCCCATTTCCCTGAGAAGTCTGCTGATGGATGCTGGAACAGATCGCCCTGTTTGAAGGAGTATGTGAGGTATTTTTAGTCTGGGGGAGAGTGTGTCATCTGATCCAGATGTCCAGAGACCACACAGAGGCTGGTGCTGGCCTTCAGCCGGAGGAGGCTGCTGGCTGTCCGCACCCCCCCAAAAACACCTCCTGTGTCCACGGACAAACACCGAGTCACATGACTCCCCTCCCTCGTTTGTTGGAGCCTCCAGAAAGGGGACCACTGTGATCCCCTTTGGGCCCGGTCCACCACAGAGAGCGTCTATAAAAGGCTCCTCTTTGGGGGTGATGGGGCTTTATGGCTGGTTCTGTGTGGATTTGGATCTGGCAGACATGGCCAGAGAGCAGGACAGCCCCAGGACCCGTTAGGTTAGCGGCTAATCACAGAGCTCCCACCAATCAGATCCAGGTCTGTTCCGGATGATGTGCTCCTGCATATATCAGCAGCTCAGACTTTTATGAGGCTCCGCCAGACGCGCTGCAGAGCCTGAGCCCGCCATGCCGGGAGTGCACCTGCAGTGAGCTCAGCCCCAGACGCAGCCGCTGAGCTCTGCTCAGTCTGGAGGAGCTGCTGCTCTCTGCTCAGCTGACAAACCAGCCGCATGATTAACAGGCCTGGAACCAAGGTGGCCGTCCAGCCGGGCTAAAAAGCATGTAACCAATTGCTTGTGGATGAGCGATGAGTGGGATTTATGCCCCCCAACTTTATGTATTTTTCCCTCTCCGCTTTCAGCTGAATATCCGTGTGCATTCCAGATTAGCTGCTGCTCCACAACCACCAGCATCTGGGGCTCAGGGACTCTGGTGTGCCTGTCATCATTTGGTTTTAGCAGATTGCTCATCATGGTTCCAGCATTCCTACCAATCCTTCTTCTAAACATTTCTGTGAGGTACGTGGGCAACAGCCTGTCCATGAAGGCAGCACGACCTTGGTCATTTGTCACACAAAGCCTGTGTCTCCAGGTTTGTTCCCCATTAAATGACCTG